GACTATAGCTAACTCCATGGACCGACTCTTTAATGAGAAGCTATCAGTTGCTCAGCTACACAAGAAGCTACCAGCACCTTACGAAACCCGAATGTTTATTATCCTGTTCACAAGAGCTGAGCACTGATCCTTATCCTAAGCCAGATAAATCCAGTTCACAAACACATACCAAATTTACTTTATATCAGTTTAGCATCATTGTCCCATATATGCCTAGTCTTCGCAGTGTTCTACTTCCCTTCAAGTTCTCTCTTCCTCCTTAACCTTATATCAGTCTCTCTCCATGCCCTGAGCAGCTCATCCTCTTGGACTGATCATTTTAGTAGCATCTGGCAAGAACCTAAAATAATTAGCGTTTTCATTATGTATATTTCTCCAGTCTCACATTATTCTATTCCACTTGGGTCCAAATATTCTCCTCGGCACCCTGTTCTCAAACACTCTCAGTCTGTGTTCCCCTCTTAATGTGACAGACCACACAAATCAAGAAATAAAATTACAGGCTTGTGTGTTTTAATCGCTAGTTAGAAAGCAAAACGACAGGGAGGAAGATTCTGAATTGAAAGGTAGCAAGAATTTTCCGAATTTCATCTGCCCTTTTTCATCCATTGGCTCTGAGTGGTCACTCTCCTGTCACTTTGGTGACATCCTCAGCCAAACAAATCCATCAACGAAGATGAAGGTAATAAGGCCATTCGAAACATTAGCAACACAGCCCACTTGGGCCGCACCATAACTCAAGCGGTTAGTCGCTGGCTTCCCACTGCGGCGGCCCGGGTTCGATCCCGGGGTCTGGTCAAGTGGGATTTGTGGTGGACAAAGTGGCGCTGGGGCAGGTTTTCTCCGAGTACTTCTGTTTCCCCTGCCAATCTTCATTCCACCAATTGCTCCACAATCACCCTCACCTATCATCTGGGGCTGGTACAATAGGCCAGAAGTGGCCGCAGTACAAGGGATTTGGTCCCACCCCACTAGCAATAAAAAAAAACACAGCCCACTTCAATAGGGCACGATCTACGTACTAGAACATGACGATTTTGAATATTTAAATCTGCAGTTCCCACCTCAGAGAAAACACACTGCACCTTCATTAAAAATATCAATCTGTTAGCGCCATTAATGGAAATAGTCGCTGTTGATTTTGAAAACCGTGCGACAGATAAATACAATTTTTGACCACAAAGCACTAAGCAATTTTTCTCAGGCGGTAGAACTCTGCCCTCTATCTGGGAGGTGCACAGTTCGAATCTCAGCTAGGCCACCGTACACCCTTACCCACTTCCATTTGTGGATGCGAAGTGGGGTCTGCCTATGGGAGGGTAGGAAATATGAGGGTAGTCAGTAAATAGGTTAGAAATGGAAGTTAAACAATTGTAATGAATGTAATATGTTCTCTATGTACATATATCACTAGGTAGCAACACAGTCCAGCTAGCAGACGCGATGCGCATGTTCAGAGGCTGCTTCAAGTAGTCAAAATGGCGACCGTGCTGAAGTGGGTACTACAGAGGAGAAGCGTTCTCTTGTGCATTTGCTGTGGGCAAAAGGACGGAATGCAAAGGATATTCATAAATAAATATTTCCTGTTTATGGTGGGAAGTGTAGGTCCCGTAAAGCGGTTTACAGCTGGGTAGACGAATTCTCTGAAGGATGTTCGAAAGTCACAGATGATACCCGACCAGGTCGCCCATTTGAGATTGCATCAGAAGCATCTGTGCAGAGGGCGGAAGAGTTGACTCGAGTTGACAGGAGGATAAAGATAACCAGTGTTTTGCATACAGCATAATATTTCGGGATGCAATTCGCAGAGAACCTCCATGCCAACAGCAAGATGGGTGCCCAGGAGAGAATTCAATAACTACCTGTATAATGGGAACTTCCTGAACATCCATCTAACGACCCAGACTTGGTCCCTCGTGAGTTTATCTGTCTGGTCCGCTAAAAGAAACAACTAGGTGACAAAAGTTTCGCTGATGAGGAGGAAGTTGAAACACGGGGGCGGAAGTGGCTAAGACGACAGTCAAAAACTTCTATACGACGGATTTAGAAGCACTGGTAAAGCGATGAGACAAGTGTATCAGGGTTGGTGGAAGATATGTAGAGAAATGTTTTATTCCAGTTTCTGATATCACACGTTTTATGTTTCATATCCATTTTTACATATTTACTGACTCTCCCTCGTAAAACAGTGCCAATGGAGCGGGATTATTTCAAAACTACAAAAGCATCAAGAATGGACAGATTACGACTTGACAAAATAGGAAAAGGAAACCTGTACAGATGAAAGAGTGATGGAAACAAGAGTCAGCACTAACTTCTCAGATATGTCACCACACAGTCTAATAGAAGTTTAGCGACGTTTCGGAGGACCGTCCATAAATATTTGTCTGAATAATTGGCGACACATTCCTGAAGATCTTTATGGGATTTTTTATGACGTAAATATCTAGACTCTATAGAGCTTATTGGTAAGCTGACTGCTGAATGATGAAGTGTAAAGGATTACAACGGAAGCTGCCATGGTATAATTAAGGTAATTACCTTCTATTTGCCTGGAGGAGCTGAGAAAACCCACAAAGAACCTAAGTTATTGTACTTGGTTTCCCGGCTGAAATTCGAACCAAGTACCTGCCAAATACGAATCTAGAGTGTTACCGCTATTCCAAACCGCTCAGTCATAAGTCTCGTGAAATTACAATATTAAAAATGGTGAAAAGGATTGGAGCGTTTGTAGTGAACTACTATAATGGAGGAAATGAGGAAGGAAGTGACTGGGTCTTAACCTAAGGTAGTATACAGGCATTTGCCTCGAGAGCCTGTGGAAAATAGGAAAATCTTCAGTCAATTCGTCCCGTCTCCTGGTCGAAATTTGAACTTGGTCTCTCCGTCTGCTCATCATTCGATGGTGACATTTGATGTGAGACGTGTTCAACCATTCAAGACTAATTTCTTCTAAGCAATATATAAATATCTGGTTTAGAAAACCGAAATTAACCGCCGTGGGGGTCCGTTGCGCTTACCACGTGACACCTTCTATAAGCAAAGTTGGCACTAATTTCGCCGACAAGCGGCGGTAGCTCGGTCGAGAGAATCCGCTTGCGGACTAAAGCCACGGAGTTTGTTTTGTTTAATATATAAGGATATAGCTCGTACCTCACAGGAAACACGTGATGTCTATGTTACAAAGGCCATCAACCGGTTAATGCATTTTGGGGTGTAAAATTGTTACTTATTTTGAGATCCATTCGAAAGACACGAGTACACTCTATGGGTAGAATGCATAGTTTTAGATCAGGTGGTATATATATTAACCATTAGATTTTAAAGGTTAAAAGAATATAAATTTCAGAATGCTATATACAACATTTCATAAATAAAAGGTACTTCTAAGCCACTGTTCCTGTCCTATCTGCAAATGATGATGGGTGAAGTCATTAGTCGGATGAAACAGAATTGCTGCTTGTGTGACCTTGTACAGCAGTGAGTCTAACATTAAGCAAGGGAGTGTTTAATGGGACAGCAATACCGTCCGTCCGATTGTATGTATGTACAGGACAATGGATGAAATTTGTAATTAATTAATTATTGTCATTTTTGGTTATAAATATTACATACAGCTGCTATATAAATATAATTATGGTAGGTCCATATGCAGCTTAACAAGCATAATAATTATGAAGTTCGCCTGTATAATACATAAAAATACACTTCCCACAACACAGACAAAATGCGTGTCCATTACAAAGATCAATCGGTTAATGTTGTTTATGGCAACAACTGCTGTTTACTCTGAAAATTATAAGGAATATATAAATGCACTCTATGGAAGAACTGCGCTGTTTCTTAACGTTAACACGGTATACATCCTAACAACTGCGCTTTAAATGGTTGAAACTGAAAATGTGAAAAATATTTGATGACTTTTTTTACATGGATAACACTGAATATGTAAGCTAACGGAAAGTTTAGAAGAAAGTAAAATCAGCCAATTACGGCTGTTCTTTTCTAAATCCAGTGTAAAAAAAATTAATTGAAATTTAACAACGTATATGTGATTCATTTATTTATTATTTGTAGTTTATTTAATGATGCTGCCAGTTACTGAGACTAAAGTCGAACGGCTGGTCGACAGTGAACAATGAATGAGAATTTGAGGCTTTCACGGCGGTGACTATGAAAAAAGCAGTCTTCTGGGATTTGGCACCGTGTATATGTGGTGTTAACCGACGTTTCGGAGGAACGTATCGCCTCCATCTTCAGGGTATAAGAAAAAATATAAGANGAAGTAATCTATCTTGGACTAACTTCAAAGTGCTATCCCAGAATTTGACTGTAAATATAGAAGAAAACCACGTGAAGCCTGTCATGATGGTCGGTAACCTGACCGAGATTCGAACTGAGTCTGTTCCGAATGCAAATCAAAATCATTACCTATTGAACCGGCTTGCTCGATAACAGGGGGGGCCCGTGTATACGCACTGCGGAACCGCAGCGCCCCCAATTTCCACTTAATATTATCGATAACATTTATATAATGAGTCCTTTTTTCTTTAATTCTTTCTTTATACTTGTACAATACAATACATAATCCTTAAGCTTAATGTCAGTAGCCAAATCTTTGTATGGAACTGTGCGCTTCTGGAGCAGCACCCCCACTAATTTTAGCTACGAGCCACCACTGCTCGATAATGTTTTATGGTTCTACAGCCCTTTGTTGGGCCATGGCCGCTTTTGCTGGTTCAAAATCCTATACACAGTCGGTATGACTCCGTGAAGAGGGGATCAGCCCGCCGCAAGGCCGCTATCTATATACAGAACAATATAAACACAAAATAAACGCACAATGAGAGCCATGCCATGAGTGGAATTCGAACTCACGACCCCAGTGTTCGAGCAGGCAAAGATGGTTCATGCCTTAGACTATGCGCCCACAGTGCAGCTCCATATTAGGTAAACTATATTATTAACATGTGTCATGAGCTAACATAAACGAACCTTACCTTATGATCTGCAAATATGTGCGTAGATTACAGGAGATATTTTCCAAGCCTCATTGCGTGCACAACTTTTAAGGTGAATAGCACATGTATAATGTTTATAGGACTGCAGCCTATAACACGTGTATCACAACAGGTTAGAAGAACCGTTAGTAAGATCAACAACACTTCACACCACTACGTCCACAGAACACATACAAACGAACGAGTGTCTATGTCTCTTAAAGCTCTCTGATCTGGGAAAATGAACACCAGAGCATCACGAAGCGGTCGGATAGCAGGTGACCACACGACTGTGGAAGAAGAGCCGAGTAGCTGACTAGAAAGCTCTCGTCTGGTTGGCTGACTGGCGTGTAACGTGCTCTCGGTAGTCGACCGCTGTCAGAGCTGCAGTTTCAGTGCATCCTTCCTTACTCATGATGAACTCGATAAAATAACTGGTTGCAGGCTAGACGACCGGTGTTCTATTCCCTGCAGGAGTATTTTATGTTCGCTAACATGTCCAGGCCCGAGATGCCTGTGTGCACGCACTAAACACAGCCGCAGGTACCAAGACTTATAAAGGCACAAACCATCAACAAACAAATACTCGATATTAAGAGAGAAACCATATCACAGGTCCTTTTAATGTTTAACTTTGGAGAGCAATAAAAATAATTTGTCTTGTGCAAGCAGTAAAGAAGTAATTTAATTTCTACAGCATGGTCAGTGTGTCAAGGGTATAAAAGTTTATGTACAACAACATAGAACTTTGATGTTTTTGTGAGATCGAAATACTCCGTGTAGTAGTGGAACAAAGATGCGAAATAGGAGCAGTTGAATCAGGAACAGCACAGAAAGCTGCACTGAGGTTTGTGTTTGTGTACATATTGTTACGTGTTGGGTGACTACCGGCGCGGCTTTGCATTTATTGACCAATTTAACACACGACTCGTGACTACACTTAATTATAGCGCCGTCGGTAAACTCGACACTTTAAAAATCACTACAGTAGATGCTAAATATTTTACATCTGTTGTCTTCGGCACTCCGAACTTGAGCGTGAAAAGTATTCATTTCCATCTGGCTCTTCTTAAGCTAAATTTACACCAGGCTGTACAATTTATAGGGATCATACAGCACATAGCAAATCTCTTCACTGTCTGCGTCCAGTTGTGCTGATCGTATTTGGCAGTCAACAAAACAATAAATAAAAAATAAACAGTCGAATTGCTCACATTGGCTTTATTTAATGGTTGTTACTTATTTCGGTTGACATGTGGGACCACCTTCAGGCAGTCTCATTAAACACGTCTCAGGTTATTGAACTGACCCAATATGCAGAGATACTGGGTTTTCGGAATTTATCCATCGTCTTGGTTTTAAGATAACTAAGAAAAACACGATGTCCAGTGATTGAGGCTAGCTCTTTCTAAGGGACTCAACAGAATAGGTGTTTTCCCTCACCTGAGGACGAAAACAGATCCAGTTTCCGAAACGTCGTGCTTTTTTAGTTAGCTTAAAACCAAGACGATGGATAAAGTCCGAAAATCCAGTATCTCTGTGTGTTATACACCATCGTCAGAATCATACAACACGTGCAAAAGTCATGAATTTTCAAGAATTCTTCTACTTTTAAACTTAATTTTAATTTCTTGACAATTTTAAAAGCAGAAAAATTTTTGTCATTTTCCAGTTGGTTGCACGTGTTGTATGATTGTGATGACTAGCACTAATATGGGTCCATATTGGGTCAGTTCAATAACCTGAGACGTGTTTAATGAGCCTGCCTGAAAACGATCCGCCTCTGAACTGAAACATTTGTTTTTTCCTTGGCACTACAGCCCCAGTGGGCCTAGGCCTACCTCCATGAACTTCTCCGTTCACTTCGGTTTTTCTAGATCTTACACATTCGGTAGGACTCCTTGGGCGGGTGATCAGCTCGTCGCAAGGCCTCTACCTGTACTCAAACACAGAAAAACGCACACACACAAACTAAACATCCATGCCCTGAGTGGGATTCGAGCCCACGATCCCGGTTTCCAAGCGAGCGAAGACAGTACATGCCTTAGACCGCTCGGCTACCGTGACCGGCTACTGAAACATTTATCAGCCATTATATAAAACCTATGTTAGCAGTTCGATTGGTTCATTTTTTACTTGCTGATGTGTTGACTGCCAAATACCATCATAGCAAAGCTGTTATGAATCCTGAAATGCGAGCGGGCTATGCTGAATTCGCCTGAAAGAATGAAGAAAACCAGAAAAAGAAATCAGTAACAAAGACACGTTTCTCTCCAGATCTGACTCGCGTAACTTTCTATTGCAAGTCAGCCGCTAACTATGCCTAGCTAGGCCGTGACATTGTCCACTGTGTGTGAGGTTTCTTGCGGGGTTTCGGAGTCCTTACCTTCCTTAAAATATGCCGTGGCTTCTTCCTACCGTTGTTATTTCACGAAACATTTTCATCTTTTCATCATTCTACGCTAAATGACATGGCGTTTGATCTCGAGCCTAGGACGAAAATAGATGAAATGCGAAATATTTTTAGGTTACGAAACCGTGAAGTCTTGCAGAATAAAACCAATGTTTCAGAGGAACATATTGTGTTCATCTTCAGAGTTGCAGGATCTAGGTAGGTCCCGACTAGGATCTGTTTCTGCACCATTATGACAGATCGCCTTCTTGCGTACATCATTTTACAATCGTCATCCCTGAACACTGGGGCTAAATGTTCCTCCTTAATTTCGATATTCGGCTACTAGTCTATATGTTTCAGTCTAAACAACCATCGCTGCGCACACCTCAAAATTAATATGACACTATTTCCCTTACATTGGTCCAAACGCACATCTTTTTAATTCAAATTCCGGCGTTCGCTTATGATATTCATCGCATGAATGACTTTAATCTGTGATAACAGCTGCACACGGTCTAAATATCGTTTCCCAGCATTCTGTTACATTAACATATCTTTTGTACACATTCAACCTGTTGTCTAGCCACCCTTCTCTGTCACTACATGTTTCGGCAGTGTACGACCACCGTGTGGTGTTTTCTATCTTGCTAAAACTGTTGCACCGCACGTCAAAATTACGTATCGCGTGTGAAAGCGATATTTCCTAAGTACACAAGCAAATATATTTTAAACAAATGGATGACGAGCAAAATGCAAAATATTAAAAGACTAACTAATTTTAATTAAAGTTAATTTATTTTAATTAGGAAATATCACTATCACACGCGATACATAATTTTGACATACAGTGTAACAATAACAAAGTGGATAACAATTTATGTTGGCTATATGCGGCCGATGCCAGTCACTGTAGCCGAGCGGTCTAAGGCATGTACTCTCTTCGCTCGCTTGGAAACCGGGATCGTGGGTTCGAATCCCACTCAGGGGATGGATGTTTAGTTTGTGTGTGTGCGTTTTTCTGTGTTTGTGTACACGTAGAGGCCTTGCGACGAGCTGATCACCCGCCCAAGGAGTCCTACCGAATGTGTAAGATCTAGAAAAACCGAAGTGAACGGAGAAGTTCATGGAGGTAGGCCTAGGCCCACTGGGGCTGTAGTGCCAAGGGGGAAAAATAATATGCGGCCGAAGCATGTAGTGAGTGAGAAGAGTGTTTAGATAATAAGTTTCCACATATATACATATGCAAAAGAGTCCTGCTAAATGTTCCACATTTCTAACGTTCATGCTGTGGTCCTGAGACCGGCTCTCCGTACTGAGGCAGTGTTTGGTTCTGCTACTTATCCAGAAGAATGCGTCGATAGTACGCAAAATAAGGCTACCACCGCTTCCTTCCACACGTCTCTCAACCCATTGCTCATGAAGCCTCCTTTCATCCTACCCACATAGTCTTCTTCTTCCCCTTGGCACTACAGCCCCAGTGGGCCTAGGCCTACCTCCACGAACTCCGTTCACTTCGGTTTTTCTAGATCTTACACATTCGGTAGGACTTCTTGGGCGGGTGATCAGCTCGTCGCAAGGCCTCTACCTGTACACAAACATAGAAAACGCACACACACAAACTAAACATCCATGCCCTGAGTGGGATTCGAACCCACGATCCCGGTTTCCAAGCGAGTGAAAACAGTACATGCTTCAGACCGCTCGGCTACCGTGACCGGCATCCAAATAGTCTAGGTGTCGGTAAATAAGCCGAAATAAACGATGAAAATTGTATGAACAGACAGAAGAGTCAAAATATAACTTTCGATTTTAACTGGTTTCAGTGTTTGCTCTTCAACTGAATACTTAAAGTTGAAGGACGTCACTAGGAAATGTCTTTATCCTGAGAGACTCTCCCACTCCTACCGTGAAAATGTCTAGTTGCGTAATGTCAGAAGTAACGCCCGAGGTTAAGAAAACGCACGCTGTCAGCACAGAACATACTTCAGTGAAAGTAAGATTAGTTTCCTAAACCCGACATTTACAGGCTATTATATTGTGGCATATTTGTTATAGGCAGGAACTGTGGAGCTAGGGCCGCGCCATAGCTCAAGCGGTTAGTCGCTGGCTTCCCACCGCGGCAGCCCGGGTTCAATCCCGGTTCTGGACAAGTGAGATTTGTGGTGGACAAAGTGGCGCTGGGGCAGGTTTCCTCCGAGTACTGCCAATCTTCATTCCACCAATTGCTCCACAGTCACCCTCACCTATCACCTGGGGCTGGTACAATAGGCCAGAAGTGGCCGCAGTACAAGGGACTTAGTCCCACCCAATAGCAATAAAAGGAATACTACTTCAAATTCCCCATACGTTTTCATGAAATATTATGTAATTAATTAACCGTAGGAACATCTTTACTTCTGCCTACTGTAAGGTTCTCACACAACACAAAATATAGTGTAACAAGACGCCTGAAAGCCGGGATAACGAAGCAAGAGTAAACGTTCATTCCAAGGCAACGACTAGGTAAAGAGGCTTCAGCGACAAACAATAAACAAGCAACAATTGAGGTGTTGTTGAGATACAACAATGAAAACGACATTTTGTGCTGGAACCGACCAGAGGTTGTATAACGAGGACGCAATGCCAGCTGAAATAAGAATTGGTAGCGTCACATGAGGTGGCTGTCGAAGCTGATTCAGAAGAGATGGAAAGGAAGGATTTGGGCTGTACAACGAATACTTCATATTGCAGTTACAGTGAGACTGTTATAATTGCTGTGTTTAAATCCGTTGTCAGGATAAGACTAGAGAAGACTGAGAAGACATAGAGTGTCCGAGTGGTTTGTAAAGTGTGGAAATTAGCGATAGCGCTATAACTAACTGTTGTTACTAGTTGTGTGAATAAATGTGTCAATAAATCGAATTATCCAAAATGTACCTCTTCTATAGTCACACACCCCTAATATATGTGATAATATATTCTTATCTGAAAGGCATCATGATTGTCTGTAACACATTCTGCTCTTTGCTAATTAGCGAAATTGTTATTTTGTTACTGAATTCGACAGAATTACAATTTTATTATGTTATAATAAATTTTTTCCTCGATTA